GTAGGAAACATGGGTCCACTTATCTCTGTGGTACAATGGAGTCCGCTGTCTATGTCCAGGAGTAGTATAGTGAGTCATGAATATATACTGACACTCTACACTGACTTCCATAATGATTGTCCCAATCCGCATTCTCCCGCAATCCTTGTCAGATTGCTGGGGAATGCCATTCTGACTGAGATGAGGTAGTATCTCAAAGTAGTTTTATTTGCATTTCCCTGATAACTAGATAAGTTGAATATGTTTTTAGATGTTTATTGGCCATTTGTGCATGTTTGTTTGTTTGTTTGATTTAAGAACTGTCTGTTCATTTCTTACCCCTGTTGACTTGCAGTTTAGGAGTCCTAATGTTTAATAATTTTTAAATTTTACTGTATGTGTGTAGTGTTTTATGTACATGTTGTCTGCACCACTTGTGTGGCTTGTTCCTGTAGAGGACAAAAAGGAATGTCAGATCCCCTGAGACCGCAGTTAGATGGCTGTGAGCCACCGTGTGGGTGCTGGGAATTGAACCTGGGTCCTCAGGGAGAGCAGCCAATCCACTAAACCACTGAGCCACCTCACCAGCCCTAATGTGACTTTTTAAATGAACCATGGTAACTATTTAACTCTATCCAGGTCCAACTATTTAACAAAAAACTTTTACGTTATCTGAATCAATACATTTTTCCAATTTGTAGTTTTTGTAATTCTTTTTAAAAGCTAGAATATTTTCATACTTAATTCTTCTGATGTTTCTATTTTTACTCAAAAATTACAATAAACATAGCCATTGAAAAATGTCAAGTGTGTCTCCACAACAGTTGTGTTAATAGACTTAAGGAAAGTGAGAGTGGAAACATAATCAGATGAAAATGTAGACTGTGCTGTGATTGGAAAGACAGAGGATGAAAAGTGAATGAAGAAATGGACAACTGAATGAGCAAACCAAACGGTAAAAAGAAATAATGAGAAAATGGGAGGGGAGCATTTTAAAATAAATTGAAAATGAATCTTTTAAAAATATAGGCAAGAATCTAAGAAAATTGTACTATAGTTACTGCAAAAAACAAATTTTTTGCAGGGTATTTTTTGTTTATATGAGGGAGAAGGGTTGGTTTGTATAAAGCTTCATGAAAGCTTTAGAAGTTAGGTGAAAGTGGTCCATGACTATGCCATTTAATGGGGAGAAGATTCTAGAATTCTTTCAACTGAGTGAGGATGGGGAGGTAGGAAAGGCAGCCACCGTCAGCCATTTCCAGTCACTGGAACTGAGCAAAAATAGTTCAGTCAGCTGAGTTACGACGCAGTGTTTCAAAAAGATTCTTGCTTCTTGAGAAGATGCCTGTGCTGCTCACAAATGAGTATCAAAGGTCTAAGTTCCCGGCACTGTTTGAAATCTCTTCTGTATGTGCAGTCTTCCAACAGTGGACGGTGGCCACAGAGACTTCAGTCACATAGATTTGCTTGTTTGGTGTCTTGTTCACTCCAGACTCATTCTTCTGACTGTTTACCGCAACACTGTCCATGACCCAACATTGCCAGTGACACCTGTGGTAATTCCCATGACTAGTACACTCCTCACCCACTAGCACTATGGCAAGGTATTTATTCTGTCAGGTGAAAGGCATTGCTACTTAATTCAGCAACAGAGTGAATAACTTTGATGTAAAAACTGACGTGCCTAAAAAACAACCATGTAAAACGGGCTTTTCCTGGAGGCACGTGATTGCTGTTGCTTACACCTTGAAAACACCCCCTTCAAGAGTTGTTTTATAAAGAAAATATGCTTCTAGAAGTCCTGAGTAGTGGATGAAGAGTATGTTTTTTAAAATGACAAAAACCTTTTTAAAAAGAAGCTCATCTCTTTTTAAAAGCTATTCACATGAAAAGAAAACTCTCTAAGCACAAGCTTGATCTATATGTTTTTGTGGTTATTAGTAGTAATGACAGTACATTAACCACACTCTCTTGATAATGCTGTAGCTGCTTCTTGGTACTTGTATCAGCATATAAATTTCACAACTGGCAATATGGGAATTTGACTAGTACGTTTTTGTTTATATAAGGGGTAACAACATTATAAACTTCTTCATATCTTTGAATTATGGTTCTTGATTTGCACACAGCGAGACTGAAACGCAGCTGAAGACGGCAGCCATCTTTGTGCTGCACTCCCTTAGGCATGCGTGCAGGCTGCTGGATGACGGCAGCAGAGGTGGCCACCGCATAGTCTGCAGTTGATGCGTCCCTTTTATTTCAGTTACTCTTTTTATTTAGGAAACATGGACTGACGCCCTTCTCGTGTGCAGATTGAGGGTACCCTGCTTCATTAGGAAGGTGGTAAAAGCTGAAGAGCAAGTGATGCCCAGCACTGTATAGATAGCCTCACTTCTGCTAGGAAACACTTTAAACAAATTATTTTGGTAAAACATTAAGTAGCTCAATATGAAAGTTGATGCAAAAGAGGTCATTTGGATTAATTTTATTAAATTATTTTTATACTGGATTGAGTTGTAAGTAATAATTCTTCTTTTATAACCCTTTTAAATTTGATTAGTCCTTCTCCGATGCAATGTAAGCAAGCCTTCCAGTACCTAGCTCATAACATTAGCTAGTGCTGCTAGAGGAAACTTTATGGAAGGAAGAAACATGATGGTGTTTCCTTTTTATTACAGAACTATAGATGGGTTCTGTTTCAGAGTGACAGCTAGTAACACCAAACATACGCTGCCATATGAAAAGGAGAAATGCTTTAAAAGTGCTGCCAAGTAGGTGTGGGAGAGGGAAATGGCAAGGTAACTAAATCTAATAAACGTGTTTCACTTTTGTGAAAAGAGACTAAGTGTCTACTAATGATTTGAGAAGTAAAAATGAACCCTTTGGTATTGTCATGGAGTTACACTACCTCCTACAACTAAAACAATTTATGATCATAAGCAGTCTTCAGCCCTAAGATGCACTACAAAACTGAACCATCTAGGAAGGAATTGTTCATATGAAAAATATTCATTTATAACACAACTCCTAGCAAACCATGGAAGGCAAGAAAGGGAGTGTGAGGCAGGAGGCTGTGGAGTTTGGGTGATTAAGGGGTTGTTGGTACCTACTTGGGTGGTCGATACAGCAAGAAAGGCCTTTTGGATCTTTAGTGCAGATTTTAAATCATATACATAATTATGTGGGGTTTGCACTAATGTGGTTTGAATATAAAATATTTCCCACAAAAGCTTCATGTGTCTAGCTTGGTCCTTACCTGGCGTATCCAACCATTGAGAGGTGATTGGATCATGGGGGCTCTGAGTTATTCAGTGTAGTCATCACTCCTGGATTCTTAATATGATGACATTGGAAGATGACAGAAATTAGGAAGTAATGCATTGTTAGAGAATAGACTATTAGGAGTTTCTTGCCTGGCCCTTCATGTCTCAGTCTTTCTACTTTGTAACATGGTAAGTAAAAGGCCCAGAGACTGATACTGAGTTTTAAACTTCAAACTGAAAGGCAGAAAAGCAAAGTGGCCAGCCTCTACCTTACCTCTACCTCAGGCTGAAAGGGTTGACTTACCAACTCTCTTCAGCATGGCTGGAGACTGAATGCTCCTGTCTTCAGTGTGGCTGGAGAATGAATGTCTCCTACTGAATGCCTGATACTGACTTATATACCTCTCCTGAGTCCTGGGATTATAGGGTGAGCTATAATTCTCTTTTAGACTGATTCAATCTTGTATAGACCTGGGTGGCCTGAGACTCACAGAGATCTGTCTGCGTCTTAATCCTGAGTCCTAGGATTAAAGGTGTGTACCACCACCTCCTAACTTCTGGCTTCTGGAATTAAAGGTGTGTACCTGGCTTCTGTGGCTTGTGGATGACTTTGCTTTCTGAATCCTCATGCAAGCTTTAATAAGTCATAAATAATGCATCACTATGCTACCTGCTGTGAACCCATGGTACGCTCCCAACCATGGTGACTCTGCATTGTCTTGAGTCTCAAAGGAATGGAGCTACCTGCTGACTTAAACCCTGAGCCAAAATAAATCTGTCTTCCAGTCAGTGGTGGCAGGGACAGAAGCACAGCTCCACACTGTCACCCTCAGCAGCCTTAGTTTTAGAGGTCTCAAGTCATGTAAACCTGGATCTTTGTATGCAGCCAAGAATTTTATGATAAGCCCATATGGAATGGAGTTGGGGTTTATTAAAAGAGATTTCCATATATATTTTAAGTTTAATGTTAAAAGGTAATGTAAAGAGGCACTTGGAAAAAAAAACAAAACATGTGTCAGAGTATGGGTGGGCTTCTCAAAGAAGAGCAGTGGTTTATTAAAAGACCTCTGTGGTACACATTTAAGCAGGATGGTGAAGAGGTAAAGAGCCACTGGAAAAGAATAAGATGCTCCCAAGGCTAGGTATGGTCTTGCAAAGGGAGAGTTGTTATTGAGAGTCTCAGCATTAGCCATACATACTGTGTTGGTGTCTTTCACATTACATCTCAAAAGACTGTAAGAAACTTCCTATCTGTCCTGTTTATGTATGACAGATGAATTATAAGTGGCTATAGAGACACCTTAGATGGGGTTATCAACCAATGAAGTACAGTCAGGAGCCGCTGGGATCGCGCAAGGGGTTTCTGGTGAAATTAATAGAAAATTACCGACTTATAGTTAGGAAAAGACAAGCTGCTAAGCAGACTTGTGAGTCCTTGATTCAGTCAGGATATTCACTTTCAGCTAAGAAATTCAGGCTAACACATACTTCTCTTTAACCAGAATATCCAGGGGTAGACCTAGCACAGTGTTGGCACGTGATGTGCCCTGTAGAAGGAGAGAATGATGAGACTCATCTCCCATAAGCCACATTACCACTCTGTGGTCACATTACGTCTGCATTTCTTTACACCCTTCACTTCCAATTTATTAAGCAGCCTTTGTCAAGGTTAGACAAGTTGTTTTTATTCCCGTGGAATATGTGAAATAGCATTTTCCTCTACGTTAAATAACGATGTTTCTCTTTCCCTTCTCAAAGGACCAATGCCCGAGGCGCTCCCCTGAACATACACAAGGTCTCCAACAGCCTGATTAACTTTGGAAGAAAGTTGATTTCCCCAGCCTCGGTTCCAGGTGGTATGGGTGGCCCTGCACCTGGTGGCGGCGGCGGTGGTGGTGGTGGCCCTGCACCTGGAGGCAGCTCTTTCCCTGCTGCTGTCTCCAGAAGCTCCGAAGAAGCCCCAAGGCATCACGTGCAGCAGCAGCAACAGCAGCAGCAGCAGCGACTGATGAAATCCGAAAGCATGCCGGTACAGTTGAACAAAGGTAGGAGAACATTCCAGTAAATCCAAAGAACCTGAAGCGTAGTCTGAGATTGTTTTCACTTGCCTATGAGAAATCAACATCCTAGAAGCAGAAATCCATGAAGACTTAGTTTTTACAAATGTGTTGTGTGTGGTTCTTTTTATCTTAGAGATTAGTATTGTATTTTTCTTGATTGTTACATGTTTGAGGTATCTGACACCGTATTATCACAGTGTGGTTTCTTATTGTCGTCATGTAGATGCCCATCTTACATGGTGGTATGATCTTTCTCAGCACAGATCTCCTGAGTTGACAGTGGAATCTAAGCTTGGGGCGTACTAGTCACAGCATTCAACAGCATGACAATGATTTAGACGAAAGTTTGTGGTCTCGTGTCATCAACCTGTTTCACGGCCAAGGAATACAAACTGAACCTAAGAGAAAAAAAAAGCTAAACCAAATCCTAAGCAGCCAAAATCAGCATTAAAGTCCATGCGCTAAACGGTGCAGCCATAGACTGGGAATAAGAGCAGGGAACCCTGAGGGATGGTGGAGCCGGAACCCTGAGGGATGGTGGAGCCCCGGGCTCACTCGGTGAGGAGGGCACTGTCCTGAGCGCACCAAACGGTGCAGCCATAGACTGGGAATAAGAGCAGGGAACCCTGAGGGGTGGTGGAGCCCCGGGCTCACTCGGTGAGGAAGGCACTGTCCTGAGCGCTCTTGCGGCTCTCACCTGTTTCAGTCTGCCCTACACACTGTGCCCACAGGGAGCCTTGTACATTCTTACCCAGAGCTTTGCCCTTACTCTGCATGCTGGCCCCTCTTCTCACAGATTAGAGCAACACTTCTTTTCCCCAGTGGAATACTGACTAGCCACTGGAAGAAAGAAATAGCAACACGATGACAAAAACTGCACAGAAGCATAGCAGTTTCTGTCCCAGTACACATCCTGGCTAAAGGAGTAACTATGTTAATAGCAGCATTCAGTACTTAGTATCAGTATCAATAACAATGGTAATATCAACAAAACAAAATTAAAACTGTGTACTTTACTTAAGGATCTCACATACAAAATTATTGTAAAGGTTTCACAATTGGAACTTAAATTGGAGTCTAGTCCCTGGTGATGCCAATTAATGCGCCATGCGCGCGTGTACACATTCATGTACATCTGAAGCCCTCTGTGGCTGTCATCATGTTATTTAGTTCTTATATTTGTCTGTGTGAAATATTAAGTTTTATATGATTAGTGTTTAAGGTGTATTATAATATTCAGTTTTCCTTCTATGAGAACATCTCATTTAAAATTACATTTTCTTTTTAATGTAGAGCTGTCACACATGATTTAAAGAAAAGGAGACATCAAATCATTAACATGTTGAAAATGTATTTTAATGCCAAGAGACATGCCCACTTCCAGAATGGAAATGAGTGTTATTTTATATATCTCTTAATTGTACTGTTTTATTGTTCTAAACAAATATGATCTCAATATTGCTTTGATAACAAGCTTTAGTCTGTTGTAATTCTAACTGATGGCAGGCAAATGAGTCAGAGAATCTCTTAATGCTTTAGCTTAAATTTTCTGAGAAACCAAGCCAAATGACTATAGAAATATAAAGTTGTCTCTCTAAGGAAATGTCAAGTATTAATATCACATAAGTGGGGAAGGAAGTGAATGGAGATGGGACAATTGGTGAGCAGTAATTCCCCAGCTGCAAGGAGACAACAGAGCGTCAGATCCATATCGGAACGTGAATGCCACTGAAGCGTTTGTAACTGATCCCTGTCCTAAAGGAATTGCCCTTGTGTTTCGTTTTGTTGTTTTGTTTAAAAACAACTCTTCTAGTTTATTTCTGGCTCATTATTCTCATATCAACACTCACCCCTTACCCATACCCCTCCAAAAAAATTTGTTGACTTTCTATTTTCACAGCAAAACTCTCTGCTAGTGTTCCTAGTTACCTAAAAGATTGAATAAAGGGTCAAAAGAACCATTTACGGAGGTGGAAAGGAGCTGTTTACCTCATGATCTTCTCTGTTCACCTCCTCTAACCCCTAACAACCTAAATTGACAGTTCAGCAGGATGCCTCGGGAGTCTGCAAGCTCTGAAAACCCGTGGTGTTTTGGTGACTGATGTGTCACCTACTGTACTCTGAAGAGTCCTCCAGCACTGGTCCTTGATGCTGACTTCCCACAGACACTCTACTGAGCTGTCTGTAATTATAAAGGGGAAGTTGTGTCAAATGTCACCCAAATTCATGCATGTGTAACTTAAAGTGAAAGGTTTAGTTTGTGTATCCATTTAATACAAAGACAGCAGAGCTCTTCCCTAGCCTGATAGTAATATTTATGTTAAAATGAGTCTCCCATGACTATATAGACAATAAGAGATCTTGAAAATCTTTATAACAAAATGGGTAGCTGGTATAAACTTGAAAATCTACAGAAATTAGGCTCACCCTCTACCAACCAATTTAGTTAGTGAAAATGTGGGTTGCTACCATTTCTACTTTTAAGTACTTCTTTGGGATGTGTTCCTATTAACAAATTGTATTTGGGTTATAGGAGAGCATTTGCGTGTTCTTTTTGTTGATAGAAATGATGTAATGACATAAAGCGATGATCCTACAGATGACAGTGTACTTAGTGGCTGGAACACTGAGGATTGTTATGTAACTTAAAAGTCAATGTTTACCAATATGTATGGATTAATGAACTATATAGTGTGTGGTATCTTAATAATTTTTACATATTAGTAAATGCATATATAGTAGGAGTGAGTGTGTGTGTGTGCGTGTGTGCGCGCGCGTGTGTGTGTGAGTGTGCGCGTGTGTGTGTGCGTGTGTGTGCGTGCGTGTGTGTGTGCGTGCGTGTGTGTGTGTGTGTGCGTGTGTGTGTGCGTGTGTGCGTGCGTGTGTGTGCGTGTGTGTATGTGTGTGCGTGCGTGTGTGTGTGCGTGTGTGTGTGCGTGCGTGTGCGTGTGTGTGTGTGTGTGTGTGTGCGTGTGTGCTACAGAAAAACTAAAGAAGCAAGCTTGTTGCTCACAGGTTATGCCTGGGGAATTGGGTGCCTTTCAAAAGACTTGATTTCTTTTGCTTAGTTACCTCCATATAGCCTTCAGACTCTCCGGGCATTACTCTGATGTCGTGACTGCTCGTTGCTGAACACTGCCCCCCCACCCCCCCCCCCGAGAGAAACAGAAGAGCAGAGAGCCCGGTGCCTGTTGCCCCCACTCTTGGTGGCCGTCTCCTTCTGTGCTCCTTTTCTTCCTCGTCGGGTTACTAAGATGCGCTCTCCCCATCCCTACTTTCTTTCCCCATCTAAAACTGTTTCTTTTTTATTTGAGCACTGCTTTATTGTAAGCATTTACTATGGTTCCAGTTTGTAATGAGATACTGCCTATAAAAGGATGCCAAGTGAAGGGTATGCAGTTCACAGATGTGTTTGTAAATGCATGTGGTGAGCTTGAAAATCTTTTCCCTGGCTAGCATGGAATTGGAGCTTCCTTGGGTCTTAAGAACTTGCTTCAAAGTGCAGTTAAAAGTACTTCTGGATATAGGAAGAAAACAATTTTAAAAGAATGCCTGTAAATAAGTGATGTACAAGTCCATTTGAAAAAGTCTTTTAAAAACATATAAAAGTCACACACATATTTGTTGTATCATAAAATAAATTCAGGAAAATCTTGATCGTCGAGGTTTCCTATCTCTAGCGTAGTAGGAACTTGTGTGCATTTCCTTCTGCAAAAGATGAGACTCTCCATAAGAAGCACCCTGTTAATGAAATGGTTTACTTTAAAATGATGTTTCATGTTTTCTAACTTCCACTATATTTCCTGTTCTAGATTTTTAGTAATTTAATAAAATTATCATAACTTTGAATGTGAAAGACAAAAGGTTCTCTATTGTCCTTTTGTGATATCTAATTATTTTTCTCTTATGAAATCTAGGCGATGTAGTTACAGGAAGTGGTGCTCAGCTTTCTGTTCCTGTCCAGGTTCTAACTGACCTCCAAGGTACAGTTGCCACAACATAATTTCTCCTCCTGCTCCAACTCCTCCTCCTCCTTCCCTCCCATCTCCCTCCCTCCCTCTCCCCCTCCTCTTTCTCTTTCTTTCTTTCTTTCTTTTCTTTTCTTTTCTTTCCTTTTCTTTTTTGTTACACCACCCCACCCAGACCACCTGTAGTATACAACCCTCTCCCAAAACTCTTTTTTCCTGGCTTTGCCTTCCATTCAACGTATAGGTCCACTACCATAGTTTGGCCACTGAGTGGCACTGTTGTGTAAAACAAAAGTTCCTTCTAGGTCCTACCCTGGTGGAATCAGGCTCTGATGTGTGTTTTCTCTTGATGTTTTCTTTGCATGTGATTCAGCCTGTGCTTGAGGCCATTTTTGCCATTATGCCATGTAGGCAAGCTTGTAAAAAATGGGCTTTTGTCAGTGGTGAGAACTTGACAATCTATGTCTGCTGAACAGTAGCACAGTCATAAAGAGAATGGAGAAACGAAAATAGAAATATAGATGGGTTCATGATTTAAGGCAATAATAATTTTTAGAAAATTATTAGAAAGCTTTCTTTTATATTTTTCATTATAGATTTCAATACTGCAAAATTTGTTTTTTGAAGATTTAATTCCAAACATTTCTTTTAAAATGGTTTAGATTTTTCATTTGAAGTTTTTATTTCTGTGTATATTTATGACATGTACATTAGCATGTACTTGACACCCAAAGAGATAGCATTACAGTACTTATTAGGTTGCTTTTAAATTTAAAAGGAGAAAAATCTCTCTGGCCAGTTAGCCACTGTTCATAGTCTTAAGGTCAAACCACAACCCATCTGATATTCGACAGTTGCAGCTAAAGGTGTTAAATGCAGACGTGGGAAAATCCCTCTCCCGGAGTAGTCATCATTGGGTTTCATGTGCTTGCTTCTAAAGGAAAAATTGGGGAGGAAGATGGGAGTCACATTAATTTGATAAGAGCTCACTTGTGTGTGGATGACTTCCCTTGGGTACTATCAAGAAGGGAGTGTTAACAGAAATGTCCAAGTGCAGGTGGCAAACAGAAATTGGTAGGGTAAGAAGGAAGCCAAGTCAACTGCAGTAGAACACAGTAAAGAAAGAGGCAGTTCCCCCTCCCAGAACAACTCATGAGATAAGCTTTTAAAACAAGATAATACATCAACTGCTCTAGCGACTGTTGAGAGTGATGAGGGGTGGGCCCGAGGTAAACTAACAGTTCCACTGTGTGCAGTATAATTGTTATAAGACAAACAAACCCTAGCCTGAAAATGGGATTTTATGGAATATGTGTTCCAAAAATATGAGTATCTTGGTTGGGTTTTTTGTTTGGTTCGTTGATTGATTTTGGTTTGGGGTGTTTTTGTTTTTATTTTTGTCAACTTGACCAAAAAAAAAGTTATCTGAGAAAAAAAACATATTTATATGAGAAAATGCTTTCAACATACTCCCTGTAGGCAACTCTGTAGTACATTTTCTTGATTAATGATTGCTATAGGTAGGCCCAGCCTATAGTAGAGGCACAGTTGCCATCCCTGGGTAGGTAGTCCTGAGTTTTATAAGAGCAAGCAATACAGAGCAAGCCAGCAAGCAGCATTCTGCTTCCTTTCCAGTCTGCAGATTCCTAACTTGGGCTCCCATTCTGACTTCCCTCAGTGACCGAGTATGAGTTGTAAGTTGAAATAAGGCCCTTCCTCCTCGTGTTGCTTTTGGTCATGGTGTTTTATTACAGCAATAGAAACCCTAAGACAGAAATCAGTACCGGGTATTGCTTTGACAAACCTAGCCATGTCGTGGGGAGGATTTTGGAAGTGGGCTGGAAGAGCTACAGCTTAATGAATTGCTATTGTGGAAACAGTACAGGCCTAGTAGTGTTTCCGAGGGAACAAAGACTCTGTCGGGGCCATTTATGTGATGTTTTGGGTGAGGAATCCATGATTGTGGTCCACTGGAGCTGAAGAATTATTATGATTAGGAAGAGACTAGAACCACAAAAATGAAACAGTTGCTTTGCTGGTCCAGTCTATACTTGTCAGATGACCCTGAAGAATCGGTTGTCTGTGGTTAAGATGAGACCTGAGTCACTGAGGAAAACTCCCTGGGAAGGGTCTCATCGGGGTCTGCAAAAAGACGCTGTGGTCCAGAGCAGGCTGACGCTGGCCTTGTGCTAACAGTTGACCTAGGCGACTGTGCCAAAGACTTGCAGGTGATACTGGGTTTGAAGGCAAAGAGGAGTCGGGAAGAGCAGCTGGGGTGTAGGCTGGTGAGTGTGCAGCCTCTGTTGCAGTTAGAAGCTGCAGGCCTGCTACAAGCTGGGCTTTGTCACCTTGTCTCGAGAAAGTCCATAAAAAGAGCCCGAGGGGCTATTGATGAGGAAAGTGTAGCCCTGTTGCAGTGCAAACACCAGAATATTGGATGACCCAGCACTATGTGTGGGTCAACCACAAGATGAGGAGCGGAGCCAGCCTGAACTGACAAGGCGGGGTGCGTGTCTTGTGGTTGGCGGAGCCAGAACAGTGGAGCTGCCCGGGGTCCTTTGGTGCCCAGATCAGAGCCCCAGGCATCAACCAATGCTGTTGGAGTTTGGGTTTGCTTTGATTTCACTGTGACTGTTTCCTGGTCCTCCCTCCTGGAGTAAGAAATATATAAATTCTTTTTATTGTTATTATTTTATAGAAGCCCCGAGAAGCTTTATGCACTTTTCAGACAGACTTGGAACTTTGAAAGAGACTTTGGATTTTGGGTGTTTTAAAGAGAATGAAGAAAAGAGGATGGGACAACAAAAGTTAGAATGTTTTATATTGTGGTAGTGATATCAGTATGATAGCTTAAGAACAATGAGAAAGGAAGGATTGTAGTTCAAGGGCCTTTGTGTGACAAGTTGACAAGGGGTCAAATGTGCTGACTAGGTAGAATCATCTGAGAGGAGTGTACCTCGGTTAAGAAAACGGATGGATGGATGGATGGATGGATGGATGGATGGATGGATGGATGGATGGATGAATAGCTCACACATTACAGGCTAGGCTCACAACCAAAAATATAAGAGAAAATGCCTCCATGAGCTCAGCCTATAAGCACATCGTCAGAGGCTTCTCAGTGATTGATATGAGACACCACGGCCCATTAGGAGTGGTGTAAAAACCCCTGGGTAGGTTTTACTAGAGAGTATTGAGAAAACTAACTCAGCAAGCCAGCAAGCAGCACTGTTATTTTTTGAGACAGGGTCTCACTATGTAGCCTTGGCTAGCCTCTAACTTCTCTTTGTAGATTAGGTTAGCCTAGAACTTAAGAGCTCTGCCTACACCTGCTTCCTTAGTGCAGGGATTAAAGGCATGAATCACCATGCCAGACCTTGGCCATTGTGTTTTATAACTGTAGTAACCCCAAGACAGTGAATTGTTGTCATCATCATCATCATCATCATTGTCCTTTCCTGGAACAAGGACTGAATTCATCACACACACACACACACACACACACACACACACACACACACACACAAACTTTTTTTTTTCCAAAAGGACTCATTCTGCCCATGTTTCCTTAATGCTAGGCTATATTCCTACAGGTTACATGACATAGGTCTAATTAGGTGCAGCTTTGCCCAACATAGGTTCTGTGGTCCAGCCACACTCCAGTCCAGGCTGAGCACTGCCTTCTAAGTGAGCTGAGGCAGTTACTGAGCCTCTTGCTTGTAATGAGAGAGTAAGGGCAGCCACTTGCTTTACTTACAGGGTGTTGTCTTAGTACTTGTTTCATGAAACTAGCTCTTGGCTGATACCTGCTCAAGTAATCGAAGCCTCGCACACCTCTCTGGTTTTCGGGATCAAATTATGGGGGAGCCCTCTGTTCTGGGATAAAGCAACACTTCCATATTTAATTGTTCTGACATTCTAGACACTTTCTTTTAAACTGGAACCCAATCCAACAGTCCTTGCAGGGTCTTCTTCAAGTATAACTGTTTGCACTCACTCTCCTGCCTTTAAGACACGTGTCTTTAGAGAGTACAGACCAACCTCTTGCCTTGTGTGTCACTCAGCTACTCAAGGCAGCAAGCTGATCTAAAATAGGGAGCAAATGTATAAGGCCGCACCGATGCAAGCATCTCCTAGGTGTGTCTTCCCCACCATCGTCCCTTAAATGTCCTAGTCCCTTGACTGTATTGCTTTTGTGTGTCCATCTCTCACGTCTGAACTCAGGTTCTTGGGTTCGTAAGCTACTGAATTAAACTTCCTGAGTCTCAATCTTGTTTTCTATAAGTCATGAGGATTGTATGGAATCATGTGTTACTGTCCAGTTATAGTCACAATGTCTATCCAATGTCTTGTTCCTCTTCCTGACACTTAGGTAGGCTAACTTGAGAAGTATGAGTGTAGGAAAGGTAGGAGGAAAGTACACAATACTCTTACATATTTGAAATCGTATCAAATGATTTCTTAGGTTTATTATTATATAAACATGAAAACAGTGATTGATAGAAAATGGGATGACTTAATAAGATTTTGTTCTTTGATATTGTTGTAATTTCTTCTAAATGGAACAATGTCCCAACAGATTACAGTGAAATTTTACTTGTATATCACACGTTTCTTCTGAATGGATTAGATATACATGGTTATGTAATGTATATCATGTGCCTTCTTTCTGAAAATATCCAAGGCAACTAACATTTTACAAAATAAGTTAGATATAACTGTTCGCAACTCTTCCAATTTGGAAGAAAATGAGAAGCTGTAATAATCCACAAATACTTGTTTTTAGGGTATAATAAAATTTAAATTATTCCATGTGGAATTTAGATTAACTATGAATTTGAACTATTATGTCAAGTATTGAGAGACTAGAGAGCATAACTAGAGTTAATAATCAAAGAACTAAGAACATTTCCCAGAGCTAAAGAAGCATACCGGCATGGAGACTGAAAGCAGCTCGGCAGGCAGGCAGGCAGGCAGGTTGACAATAAGGTCTGTCCTCCTCTGAAGCCCCACAGAGAACCTGGAAGCCCTTGGATGAGGCAGAAACTGAAGCTTTCCAGAAAGGAGCCAAAAGGGAGGTTCATTAATAAGATGACCAGCAAGTAACAACTCTCTTCTCATTGGTAAAACTGAGGGGCTATATAAACACGTGGAGAGTTGGTTATTTTTTTATTTTTAAAGTTTTGCAGAAAACTCATTTGAATTAGGATCAAGTGGAACAGTAAAGTAGACATTGGCCCAGATAAGATTTCAGGTCTGCTAGTAGATCCACCACCTTAAAAGGGACAAGACAGAGCTTATTCTGGAGCAAAATATGAATGAGCATAGACTTAAGCCATGTCACATCCCATGCTCCAACATGGAAACAGGTTCATGAAGTTTTTATAGTAACAACAAAAAAGTCCTAAATCAAGGTGCTTTTCAAATACATTGATGGGTAGTTATAGCAAAATGGAGAAATCTCAATCTGCGGGCCTCCGATGCTGTCTGGACTTTGATTTTTGGCTGGTAAAAACTGGTTTTGTTAAGTTAATATATTCCAAGAGGCTTTTATCTATTAGACCTAAGACATTAAGTCTGATACAGAAGTGGCCAAGGAGTGACTGTTTATGGGGCCAGGGAATCTCAGGATAAACTATAACAGGCTCCAGACCTGCCACCTCCCACCCTCCACATCGTGAGGCTCTGCTCAGCCAATCACGTTTGCACACGGCTCCCTTCCAGGAGTCTTGGTAGTTCTCCCCATCCCCAGCTACCACTTGGAAAGTGAAATCAACTTCTGAATGGCTTGAATTAATAAAGAAATGAGAAACAAAAATTTTATTGCATTTAGGAGTGATCATGTCTTCTTTTAAAATATCAAATATCAACCTGAAAGATAAAATGATACTTACAAAATAACATAGTAAAATCAATTATTTTGCATACAATTCAAAAAGGTGGGGAAAGGGGCATTAACATAAGCCTAAAGAAAGTAAAGGAATGAATGGGGATAAAGATGAGGTTACCAATACAGAAACCAGATTACATCAGTGAGAAGAAAGCATTGATGCAGGGCTGCAAAGAGCTCGGTGCTTGAGAGAACCTATTGGTTTGGCTCCCAGCACCTATGTGGTGCAAGTCCCATCTACCTCTAAGTGCAGCTTCAGGGAAGCCGATGTCTCTGGCCTCCTGGGGTACTCATGTGAACATTCCAACACGAGCATAATTAAAAATAATAAAAAGAAATCTTTTAAAAAAATGAAGTGATTCTATACTCTAATCAAACATGAGTAAAAGAAAACTGGAATCATGCAAAATAAGAATTGTAAAAGTAAAGATACAAAAGAGTGAGTTTGACTGCTTGTTTGATTGGGAGACTGTTTCATAAGCTGGAAATTTGAACAAAGTTTTCTTCTGACAACAAAGAATTTCTACAAATTTAGTGACTTAGAAGAACAGGTACACTGTTTAGTGACTATATCAGAAATCTGGCATAGGTCTCACGAGGGTAAAACCCTGGTGTCTGGGGCTCCAGGGGAAATTCTGTCTGCTCCCTGTCCATTTTCGATACTGGCAGAATTCAGCTACTCCAACTATAGGATGGGAGTCCCCATTCCCTTGCTTGATGTCGACCAAGACTGTTCCTGAAGGGAACTCCTGAAGGGTACCTTAGTTCTTTGGATCCTAGTCTAATGCCTTAGTACAGAGTGTGTCAGCTGTCACATTTCCTTGGAGTAGACCTAAGCGACAGTGACATCCCTGCGTTGTTCTCCTCCCTCCTCGTTTGCTTTAGACTCATCATTAGCAGTAATAACCCAAGGCACCCTTTCCGTGAAGTCACTAGCCCTGATCAGACCTGTCAGTCTCTTGCCATAGTCATAGGTTCTAGGAGTAAAGGAAGTAGACAGAATTCTGACCGCCACATGCATGCTTGTCTTGTTTTCTCTTTTAAAGATAACTGTAACTTCCAGTCAAAACTATATAATCTTAGTAGATGAGCAAACAGAAAATCCAAGTAAGACCTTTAAAAAGCCGTTCCCCCAAAGATCTCAAAGAGGCAGGCGACCCAAACTGTGATGTGCAGATAAATTCTGTTACATAAACTTACAAAGGTAGATATTTTTTTTTTTCTTTCTTTCTTCAATTTCTTTTGTGAAACCAGGATCTGAACGACATGCTTTGAATTCTTAAATGTATCTTTTGTTTAATGAGCTTTATAAAGTATATATTGTCAAAGTTGATTAAATATCCACATTGTTGGAACTTCCAACAGTTCCAAAGCCAGTGAACGCTGCTTAAGTAGTAGACGAGCAATGAGAAATTTGAGAAGAAAAAGGGAAAGCCTAGGCTTTATAATAAGTCATAAATTATGCCCCGTGTTCATCTAAGGTTAAGTAACATCTTCCTAAACAGGACATGAAGATGAAAGCCATTACAAGTTACATACACACACACACACACACACACACACACACACAGACAGACAGACACACACACACACACACACGCGCGCGTGCGCGCCAATTTCCAGAATTTAAAACTCAGAAGAAAAGACAAGGGAAAAGAGATGAGCGGGGAAGGGAAGGATACGATTTTAACAAGAAAATTAACAGATAGGTCCCTGGAGCTTTTCCATCCAAATCAATCCTGGTCTGTGGGTTATTGCCATAAACAACCGAGTAAAGTTAAGACTGCACAGCCCTGGAAGTTGGTAACAGACAGAGAAGGGAAGGCCAGGGTAAGGTACGGCAGAATGTTCCTGTTGTAGGCCTAAGATCAGCACAAGACACTTCTAGGACCATGGGGATCTGTATTCCCTGGTCTTTTCTAGCTCAGAGAACCTTGCACTCAACTTTAAATTACAGTACCACTCATTACAGGCCATTATTGAGGTGTTTATTGGGAAAACAGTTCTGCAAGAAGAAAAAGGATTGGTGTTAATAATGCTGACCTTACAGAAGTCCAGGTTTTCCTGGGACAGGACCTCTGGGTGGAAACAGGGTGTTCCTCCTGCCAGGGGCCACCATCCAAAACCTAAGCAGATCCCAATAACCTGAGGCTTACCATCCCCCTCAGCCCCAGGTTCTAAGCCCACAGTGTGTCCCTAGTACCTGATAGAAAGGAAGCTGCAGAGGAAAACAGCTGTTGTAAGATGAGAAGTCTCAGGTAGATAACTGCTAGTCCTGCTGTAACTCAGTAACCTTTGTACCTAGCAACCCAAGAGAGAAGATTGCCTGCTGTGTGGAGCATCCTATCAATTAAGTACCTTATACTGTGCATCCCAGATGCCACCATTGTAGTCGGGGCACAGCCCAGTAAAAGGCCCTGGGCCCATTACCAGAGTCTGCAGTGGGCTCAGAGCTATCCTGTAGCTGCTCCATGGTTAGGAAAGGGAAAACTATGCAGAAAGATTGGTCATACAGAGTGCTTTAGTCATACAGAGCCGTAACCTCTGCTTCCTCAGTTAGGGATTCATCCCACTGCCAACAGAAGATTCGGCCACGTAACGCTCCATCGCGGGAAATTAAAGTCTTTTTCTTTTTATGTTTTTTAAAACATACATGAACTATGGCATAGAAAACTATACTGGTACTTCTTAGTTTTAAAAATAACATCTTTATGTTTAGCATTGTTAAACAGTAGCTTCATAACTGGTCACCATTTAGTAAAGCTAGTATATTCAGTGGCTTAGTGACAATCTTGTGTTTAATTATTGCTACTTAATTTCTCTTTCAGGGCAGAATTCTAAAACCATCAGTTCATCCCCAAGCATTGAGAGTTTGCCTGGGGGGAGAGAGTCCACTGGCTCCCCACCTTCATCTGCCACTAAAAAGGATTCCTTTTTCAGCAACATCGCACGTTCTCGCTCCCACAGCAAAACTATGGGCAGAAAAGAATCTGTGAGTATTGTTTCTCATCTGACTTTATCCTAGAGTGGTGCTCATAAGAAAGTCCCTCCAGTGCCCAGTTCAGTGAAGCTCGTTAAACTAGAGCAAGCAATTTTTCAGAAGTATGTTAGTGATATTCTGATTTAGTAGTGTTTTAAGACTGTGCTCTCTGTATCTGGGAGAACAGAAACGTCAGTTCAGAATAAGTGGAATATTTTCTAAATCCTTCCTCTATCTTTTTATCAACGCATGTCGTATTTCAAGCTGTAGTCCTGGCATTGATTATTGCAGGCTCTGTTGTTGAGGAGACAGAAGTACAAAAGGCTTACTGGTGACTAGCACCTGCAAGACAGAGAAGAGCTGTGATTGGGCAGAAAGGTCCCATCCACCCACACCATCGGTTCTCTGTATGCTTGCCTGTTCAAGTGTCTTTCTAAATCTTAATAAACAACATTTTGTTGGTGAGGGATCATGACACTTGAAAAAACAAAACAAAATAATCTTTCTGTTTTAAATTAGTAACCTGAAAAGTAAAATAATTTTGCTTTTTGTTTTTAAAATCTATATGAACCACATATCTGTTTGGTGAGGTTTTTTTGTTTTGTTTTGTTTGTTTGTTTTAAAGATTAATTTATTTTTATTTTTGGTGTTTGAGTTTTTGTTTGCGGATAACGTGTGATCACTGTAGATTTGGCTGGTACCCACAGAGGTCTGCCAGATCCCCTGAAACTGGTGTTAAGCTACTTGTAAGACACTGGAGGCACTGGGAACCACATCTGAGTCCTTTGCAAGAGCAGCAGCCAGTGAGTGCTCTTAACCCTTGAGCATCTCTCCAGCCCTCTGTTAGGCTCTTTTCATAGTCTCTGTATAAATACTTTGTATATATCCTTGAAAGGCTATACATTCAAACTGTATGAACTACTTTAATAATCTAGCCTTAATCTAAATTTTATATTATCTTCCATTTTTATGATTGTAATATAATTACATCATTTCCCCCTTCCCTTTCCTCCTTCCAAATCTTCCCACATACCTTTCCTCTCTTTCAAATGTATGGCCTACCTTTTCATTAATAATTGTTACATATATGCATACATATATTGCTAATTATACAAGTATACCTGCTCAGTCTATACGATGTTGCTTGATACTTGGACGTATATTTTCAGGGATGACCATTGGTACTGCATCTTTACACGCCACTTATAAGAACTTTAACACATGTCGTATTAGTTCAATACCTTGCCTAATGTTAAGAACTCGCTTGGATACAATTCCAAAACCTAGCTGTAGCTGGAAAATAACAACTACTAAGGCCATAGGCGGATGATTGGTCAAGATACATGAGATGAAGCTTTGGGTATCCTCGGTAAGCCGTTTCACTTCCTAATGTTCCAACTACCTCATCTGCAAACCCAGTAATACACATCATCCAATTTAGGGTTACATTCCGAGACATGCATGGTTCCCTACATGGCATGGAATTTAGACTAAGATGCTGATGAGGGTTCCTAGTGACAAAATCTCACAACTCCATAGCTAAATTTTGGTCCATCACTGACTGAAAGAACATTGTGCAACCCCAGCTGTGCTTTGTCCTCTGAAGAAAGAATTCCCTCTGCTCCATCAGAGCCCCTTCCAGAAGTGTGCCCTGTGGTATCAGCAGGATGGAATTTGCTATGAAGACAGTGCATCTAACAAGACTGCACACCTCCGCTACCTCCTAAATCTTCTGCAGTTCAGAACTGACCTTCAAAAGATACTAAACCAAGACACCAGCAGTAAATATTGTTTATTGGGAAGCAGATGCCAGTGGGTAACTAAAGGCAAACCCTCAGTCATCAGCAGAAACCCCAAGACAGGACTTGCTTCAGGGGTGAATTCATCTAGAACCCGAGGGCCTGGCAGTGAAGATGGAAGGCAGAACAGAAGATCTCACCATTGCCACTTTACACACACAGAACTAGATTCCCATCTAGTGGAAGACTAGAACTTTGGTTCTCAGAAAAGTGTGACGTAAAGTCTCTAGACTGGGAGGCATCAGACACATTTCACATGGGGCTACACTGGGGACAGTGGATAATGATTATATTTAAACACAAAATATAGGAACTCCCAGCCCATCTACCTCTCCTTGCTTCCCAAAGTATCAGCACACCACAAACATTCTGTCCCAAAGGATTCTTCAAAGAAGCAACCAGGCCATGTGACCGTGGGCCCAGCCATCAGTAGGTACCATCCAAACCATGCTTCCTCATAGTTCTCAGTTCTCTATGAACAGGAAAGCTACAAATCATGCAATATAGTGATCAAAGATAAAAACAGAAAAGGAAAAAAAAAAAAACAACTAAAAGATTCATGGCATAACAATTTCAGAAAGTAACATTCATCCTTTGGATATCTGTGGAGAATTAAATCTAGGACCCCCTCCTATTACTGAAGTCTATGAATATCCACACCTGCAGATAAAATCGTATCACATTTGGGTATACACCTTTGTCTATGTGAGTTGAATCATCTCTCAATCATTGTAAGTGCTATATAATGTGCATACTGTTAAAAGAAATAGTAAGCTAATAGTTTTATACATGTTTGCAGAGAGAAAGAGTGGTGGGAGGGCTTGTTCTGCATGCTCAGTACACATTAAAAAAAAATGTTTTCAAGGGATAGTTGATATACAGAACCTATAAAAACATGAGGGCCCTTACTAGAAATAAAATTTGAAAATACAGTATCCAAACTTTAAAATTTAAAAGCTGAAGAAATACCTGCCTACCAGAAAACAAAACCTAAAACAAGACTGAAGTAGAGAATAAGAAAAAATATAGCTACACCAGAAGGTGGAAAGCCTGGAAAATTGAACCCAGAAAAAAATGGAAGAATTAAGGAGAAGGGGGCAACTAAATATAATTCAAAGGGCTGGGAAGGTGCCTCACTAGGTAAAATGCTTGTCTTGAAAATGTGAGGGCATGAGTTCCACCCCAGAATACATACAGGATGGCAGTGAGGACCAGATAAGCCGGTAAGAGACCTCATTTCAAAGCACATGACACCGGAAAAATGACCCCTTGCACTGTCCTATGTGAAAAGTTTCTGCAGCCCGATAAGCCTCCCTGCCAGTGCAGCAATCCAGGTCAGACGGCATCAAACTGAATTAGGAAAAGTCCATGTTTAATGGATACAACACTCCCAAATGACTTTCCAGTCTCTGTTTTCTGGGGACAGTTTAAACATTCTGTGGAAGTGGTCTTGAGCATCTCTGGGGGTGGGATCATCATTTGCCAGGCTATCTAAGATGAAGTAGGGATTGGAGAGAGAGCAAGAGAGAGATGGGGGAGGGGGTGTTCCACCAGATCATTCCAGACTCTCTGGGTATATGGATGACAGGGGCTGGGGTGAAGCTTCCACCAGAACACTGTGGACCTCACATACACACAACTGAAGGTGGATTTCTACTGTTTTAAACCAGGATTATCTTAAGATTGAATGTCCTACACTCACATCCCTCATATCCAGCACTGAAGAATTTCACAGGAGAACAAAAGAAATACAGGGGCGTAAAAGTGTTGAGTGAAAAGAATGGCTTCTGACCACAGGTCAGGGGTCAGGGAGATACAGACTTACCTATAGCAATACTACAACCAGACAGTAGACCATTGCCTCTGGTGCGGTGGGACAAATTCACTTCCTACCCAAATTCAGCACCCAACTAAACTACTGTTGTGGCATAAATCTGAACTGTTCCCTAATGGTGCAGATCTTGAAGGCTTGAGGAAAGGTATTGGGTCAGGAAGGTGCCAAGTTCATCGATGGATCAGTCTACGTGTGTTTGTAGCTGAATGGACTATTGGGAAGTAGTGCCTGTTGTAGGAAATAAATCACTAGGGGCACAGCTTTGAAAGACATAGCATGTCCCCCGTCCTTTTTTTTCTCACTCTTACTGTTTCCAATTGCAAATATGTATGTATGCATGTATGTATATGTGTATGTGTCTGTATAATGAAGTAAGCCTATTAGCTGTTACTCTAGTCTAAATTATAATGTAACTATTGAGAAAAGAGGACATATGAACAACAGAGAAAGAGAGGAGCAAGCTGGCAGTGGACACTAGAACTAATTCTCCTTCTTACATAGTGGAAAATCTGTGGAGAATACTGGCTAGGAAAATGAGGAATTAAGCAACTTAAGCTAGAGGTAAAAGTGAGTGGTAAAGAATAAGACCTTAAAAGTTACTGCTTCTGGGGAGCAGAAAGTAGAGGGTGTGGCTGTGAGGACTTTTTCCTAACATACTTACAGTACCATTTGACTCTTTAAGAGCTGCATATGTAAGAGTTGTCAGATGTTTGTAAAGGACATAATTTTAGGTGCTGAATTTCACAGATACTATTCCTAATGAAAACTAGCAAAGGGTGTCATTGTGCTTCTTTGCTAAAAGGTGAAAGCAGAAAAACATTTTAAAGATTGACTTTTCATTATCAATAGTTCCAGGCATGGTAATATCTACCTTCCAGCATTATGGAGGCAGAGGCTAGCCTGGCATATAGCTTGAACTATTTGTGGTTGTTATTGGTGGTGCTAGTGATGGTGGTCTTGAAGACAAAAATGTAATATTTTACCTTTTTTGCCTCACTTTGCATAATGGTATTCAGTATTTATTAGAAATCTTTTTGTTGGTTATTTGTTGACTACTAAATGAGGTTTTGCTTCTTTAACAATATTCTACAATTGTTGTCATTTTTTTCTAATAATTTCTTTGCTAAGCTTAAAGGATGAAGAAATAGTAAAAGGAAAATTCTACAATTGATATATCAGCCAATAGTAATTTTTAATTCTTTATGAACTGCATGGTGTTTTGTCATGTTTTGTGATAATTACATAGCAATCTCCAAAGATTTAAGCGTATCCATTGTTCAGGGTCCCCTCCAAACATGAAATCAAAGTGTCTGCACTGTACAGGTTGATGGTTAGGTAACCCAACTGCTGAGAGCTTGGGGCAACTTTTAGGGGTGCTT